ACGGTTGAGCCAACTGCCTGAAATGCCATCTGCAATGCTTGGGCCATGGTGTAGGGGTGGAACGGAGCTGCAGATAGCTCCCCCAATATTGGGGTGTAAAATGGGCAGCCTCCCACCTTAATTAACAACCTAACAAATTACAACAAGGCGTGGCAGGAAAGACAAGTGGGCGGCATGCACAGAAGTAGGTGGGAAACTAGCTCTGTGGCTAGTCAGGGACCCCACTTTGCCGCAGGGTACATAAGACTAGGACAACTTGGTCCTATGCAGAAACTAAGAGCCTGGTGTAGGTGCTGGGGGACCCTGAGGTGTTAACCCAGTTCAGCATTGGCAACATCTTGAGTGCGAACTTACACATCTTCTTGGATGTGTCCAGGAGACTTGCCCAGTGGGGGCACAAGACAGTGGTCCAGTGCAAGGTAAAGGCCAAGAATATGAGAGCTGCTTTCTGACATGAAGTAGCAAGAGCTCAGCAGAAGGGCACCCTGTGCGTAACATGCCACAATATCAGTACCTGCAACCATTAATGGAGGTACTTGAATGCCAAGCAATGAGACAACTAGAGGTATCCAGGCTGTCCTTTGCTCCTGGGAGCTCACCAGCCATGGGTCTGACTGTGAGTCCTGGTGTCTCAAGCAAGGAAAACAGCCGCAGTTAACTAGTGCTGGCCCTTGGTGAGTCCACCAAAGAGGAGAGACTGGGGACATCATTCTCCACAATTGGTATGTTAAGCCATGGGGAAACTTTAAGTCACCTGACATCTGAACTGACACCTGAGATTAGGTTGGGCTGTGACATGAAGGAGGGGGCAGGCAATTGCAGTAAACTGACACACGTGATTAGACTGGGCTGTGACATGATGGGGAGCGGGGCGGAGGGCTTCATTCAACTGACAGCTAAACTGACAGGTGGGGAGGATTGGATTGTCATGCAGGAAGGTGAAGGGCAACACCAAGCAGGAGGCTCTGCTGGTGAATTGTTTGCAGCCATTCAGAGCCTGCACTCCAACAACTTGGACAGGCAAGCGAGCCCTTCTTGCCCTTTTCCCAAACGCTTCTTATCCGTTCATCTGATTTGCAGAGCACAGAATAATTCCCCAAAGTATTTGATTCGATTTGATTTCCAGCTCTGCTTGTTTCTCTGCTGCCACTGCTGCCAACCCCCTGGCCCCCCCCAATCACATAGGAAGCCTGTTAATGATGCCCGGACATATAGGATTGTCAGTGCCAGCAACACCTGCACAGCGTGGGTTACGGAAGATAGCAAGACAGGCATGTCATGTCTGTGGCCAAGTGTCATTTGGGCAATGCGGCAGGAGGCATTCATGAGAAAGCAAGAGAGAAGGACAGTCTGGTTTGGAAACATAGAAAAGCAGTATTGCTTATGTGCAGTGATAGTCGCTGATTATGTTATCACTTCTTTGTTGATTTAAACATAAACAATACTGATGGTTATTGCTTCCTGGTATAAAAGTTCTTGTAATAAAACTCGTTGCATATTGCCTGAGGTTTAAAAAGTTGAAGAGTACTGCTTCTTGATAACAATTACCTTGTAAATGCTGTGAGGTTTGGTTATTTATGTAAATTATGCTTAATAAATCAGTAAAGGTTAATTAGGTAAAAACCTTTTCTATTCTTTTCTTTCAGTGTGTGCCATTAGGAGATCATCAAGCCAGGCTCCCAGACTTTGTTCCTGGCTTTGTTGTTATCGCTGCCAAATCAACAGCTGTTTGCAACATTTGGAAGGGTTGCTTAACTTGTAAAACTGGAAAAAACAGTAAATCCCAAAGTGGCAACAGCATGCACAGGGGGCAGGGTACTGTGGGTTGAGAGTGAGGGGCACTGGCAGGGCCAAGGGTGCCCGGGTCATGAGTTAGGGGCAGCAGGATGGCTCAGGGGGCTGTGGCTTGGAGTGAAGGACAATGGAATGGGCTGGACCAGAGCACTATTTTTTTTTTTTTTAAACTGGAAATACGGTAATCCTAATGACAGTGTTGTCGGTATGGGCTGTCTGCTGCCATTGTAGGAGCACCCATAGGTCTGACTGTGGGGTAAGCCTGTGCAATTGTGGCTGGCGTGGCAGCCAGCACAAGGGAAAAAAAGAACTTTATGAAGCATGGTGGCTACAGGCTTCATTCAGTGGTATGGAAAGGTGGGTGCCAATTGCTCTAAGGGCATCTGAAATGCAGATATGGTGATGACAATACCATTCTCATTAAGGGCTGCCTGCTGCCATGGGTCTGACAGTGGAGTGACGTTGTGCAATCATGAATGGTGCACCAGGCAGCACAAGAAAAAACAAATTGGAAGTGTGGCAGCGGCCATAGGCTGCAGCCAGTGCTGTGAAAAGGTGGGCGCCATTTGCTCTGACTGAAGGGCAATAAAAGTAGTCCAGGGTGCCCCCTTTAAGCATTTCTGGATTGAACCAGGGGCAGATCATAGGGTGACGGTGCTGATCTTATTAAGGACTGCCTGCTGCCATGGATCTAACTACGGGGTAAGCTTGTGCATGGAGGATATGGGTTAAAATCCTGTGATCAGGAGGGAGTTTTTTGCTCTGAAAGCAAATGAAAGTGAGGATATGTGCACCTGAAAGTTTGCTGTGACAGGGGGCCATCTCGAGGCTGGTCCAATCACTGGCCCGTCCACATGTCTAGGGCAGCCTGCCCACTTGACTCACTGGCTTTGCCTCTAGGCCAGCTGGGACTCCAAGCCTCTACCTCTGGCCATCCCTTGCAGTGGGTGCTCAGGCCCTTTGACTGTTCTGGTCCTGGCCCCAGCATTAACTAGTTGAGCTTTTATAGGTAGGTTCTTGGCAGCTAGTCCTCTCTCCCATACAGGTCCGCCTTCTGAGCTTGTGGACCACATAGTTAATCTGGGCCCGTCCAGGGCCCACTGTTCCACTTGTGCTGGGCCTCTAACTCCAGCCAGCCTATGCACAGCTCTTCAGGGCCCCTCACGGGCCCTACTGTATGTGGCCTCTGGCTCTCACTCTGCCCCCTCACTGGGGCTTATGGGGCTTGTGCCCCATGGGCCTTGTCCCTGTGCTTTTCTGTCGGGGTGTGCTCCTCTTGCCTTTCCCCTCCATGGGGTACCCACAGGGCAGTGGGGGCTGAGGCTTTCCAGTGCCCCATACTTGCTTTTTACTAGGGAAGCACAGGCGGGGCATTTCTTGGAGACTGCCCTGCCACAGGCAGTCCCACCACACCATCCAACCCAGCAGGATGTAGTTTCAGGTCATGGCCCAGGATCAGGAACCTCCTCTATCTAAGAGCAGCAGATCTCTGGCTGGCCGACACTCATCCTTTGGCTCCCTGCAGCGACTGCCTGGCTCTGCACTCGGGGCCTGTCTTATAGCCTGATTGCCTAGCCCTCTACCAATCAGGCAGCCTCCTGGGTGCCATCTGACCCTTGTGATTGGGTCTGCTCCCACCTGATCTGCAGCCTGCTCAAGCCCTTAAAGTGGCAGGCACAATCTGTGTCACACTTGCAAATAATTTTTTTTGGTGCAAATATTCAGTTGGTATAATAAAAGATATCACCTCCACCATGAGTTCTGATTCCTCTTGCCTGTAGACCAATACAGGTGTCAATTTGTATTCCTTACCCTTTTAGGTGGCCAAGCGATTCTTCATTCCTGGATGGACCCGGGGCAGATTATGGGGTGATGGTGCTGTTGTCACCCTGGCTATGTCATGGCTGGGGGGAGGGGGTGTGTTTGTGCAGGTGTCCATACAAGAGAACAAAGATTGATTAGTGTCGGGCTGGGGGGACCGCAACATCTGGTGTCTGAAGAAAGACATTACTAAAAATTGCAGGTATCCTCTTCCCCTCCTATCTGCAATTTGAAGCAACATCTGGTGGACGAAGGGGCTCATTACATGCCATTGAGTGCACTTCTGTTTTCATGTGACGGATACATGGATGCATCAATTTAATTCCTGGCAATCCAGACTAAAATACATCAGGATGCGTTTTATTTTTGAATCGCCAAAAAGACATTGAAATCACAAGAAAAACCTGTATGTGAAAACTGTAACTCAGTTAAGTCACAAAAAAAGGGCAATTTCTGTCACTTGTACAAGCACCCCTAAACTACATAAATCTCAGAAGATTAAAGCAGTTCTGGAAGCCCCCTGGCCCCCTTTAGGGCTACCTTTGGAGAAACAACAGCATATCCACCCCTTCCTTAGAGCTGAGTGCATATCTGTTATGTCTACAAGGCTGCAGACATGCTGGCTCCAATCCGCCTTTGATGTTCAAGCCTACTTACATTTATACATACTCTACTTGTGTTCTGTGTGAATCTAGTGAGCTTAGCAAATCTTGAGCGTAAGGATTATACATACAACAGGGGACTTGTTCTTTAACAGAAATCAACATCTGAAGTTGTATCACAGTTGCTGTGAAGACAGTCATGACAGCATAATACCAGCATTGTCGCTCCATAAGTGGAAAATAAGCATAGATGATGCACTTTTTTTTTAATAAAGACTTTTTTTTCATGCAAGGAGTGCTTAAAAACAGTAATGGAACAAGCAATTCGGAGGCAGGCAGGAATACAGTTATTTCAAGGAAGAACATTTTTCATGAGATATCTGAGGACTTCTAATAAATACCAAGCCTTTGTACATGTCTCTATTCAGGGGTATTTTTAGTAGCAGAGCTAAAGTTCAGGCATTTCTTCAGCGAGAGGGGCACACACTGCAAGGCTGCTGGTTCACTCTCTTTCTGTTCTTTTTAGCTTTATGCCTGAATGTTTTACTGGAAACAGCTGCTACTTTTTACCATAGCCTCGTTAATCGCCTTTCCCTCAGAAAGCAGTATTGGCCATATAAATTTAGTGCCCTTCAGCTTCTCTAAATCTGTATGTGCTATGTGATCTGGTGGGACTGGCTCTTGGGGCCACTTAGCTGTAATGGGTGGGTTCTGAAGAAACAACAAAGAGTAAACTCTGTAGCACTCTGCTGCAAACTTCACAATTGCCTCTGACTTTTCCATGTCAGCAGGAAGAGCAGCCTGAAAAATCAAGAGTAGACAGCAAGTGTGAGAGGTGGTCTGCCAGGGGATGCTTTTTCTCCCCTTACACTGACTCAGAGCTCTGCAGAAGGCTGGACAAGGCTGAGCTGCAGGAAATGCCCCCTAAGCTGCAGGTAGCTGGAGCATCAGAGAGCTGGATCACTGTTGCTAGAAGGGTTTCACCCACCTATTCTGTCACAGTCCTGTGCAAAGCATCAGAGTATATATCCTGCTCTCAGAAGACTATTCCTAGCTGCCTTTCTGAAGCCTGTACTCGCATTAATAGGGGCCAAGGGAGGAACATGTAGAGTAGGTGTCAGTGACCCCCACCATGGGTGCCAGAGTATGGCATGTGAAGCCATTTTGCTTGGTATGCCACAGCTGGTCTGGGCTCTGGGCAGGGCCCTGCCAGTGGCTATGGAGCCTGAGCTACTGGCATGCAGCTGCAGGCTGCTATGAGCAGCTACAGGAGGGTTCATGGAGCTCCGGCCCAGTTCACTGCTGGCAGCACATGAACGCCTGCTGGAGGAGCTGCCTGAGCTCTGTGGCCAGCCGCAAGGGCTGGCTCAGAGCCTGGGCTGGCTGTGGCAGGCAGCCGGGAGGTTGCAAGCAGCTGCACCAGGGTCTGTGGAGCCCCAGCCTGCCTTGTTGCTGGTAGTGGGCGCATGCATGCCTTGGGGTGGGTGGCAGGGAAGGGGCTGGGACTGTGCTGCCACAACAAGAATTGGGCCCCTCACAGCTCCCCCACCATTCACCACTGGCACACCAACATCTTACAAGTTGAGGTTGTGGGGTTTTTGGCACTCTGCCCAAAAACACTGTTGACCCCTGATTTAGAGGTTCTCAGCTCAGCTTTTCCCAACATGAAGCTTTCAGAGGAGATAGAGGAGGAAAGTAGAGATGGATAAGTGTATTCTTGGGGTTCGGAGAACCTCTTCCCCAAGGAAGAGTTGGAAAGGAACATACAGGACACAAGACTCATGGAGTTTCAGAGATGTGTGAAAATGGGTCCCCTCCCCTTCTTCAGGCTTTGTTTTTACTCACCTCACCCAGTTGTCTGTAGTAGTCTTCTGAGTTGTTAAAATAGAGATTTCTAAGATGATTCCTTATCTCTCTTACCAGCTCAGAGGTCTACAAACCAAAGGAACAAAGCAGATGAAGTGAAATAGGGATAATACATTTCCTGACTACTGGCCCTGTTAAAGGGATGTAAGTGGTTCCAGCGGTGATGGGACAGCTTCTGCTTGCAAGGACTTGGGCAAGCACCCAAATAGAGACAAAGGGTTAGGAAGGCTGTGCTGGTAAGCACCTTCCAGTAACAGTGGGATCTAGACTCCCAATGTATGGCTCTCCTGCAGTCACAGAAGTCATGGCAAATTAGACTGCCCTAGAGCTCTGTGCACCTAGTTTAAAATTAGGTCCAAGAGTCCTGCTGTCACACCCTCAGTCACAAGACACATCTTAGTTGGGTCCACAGTCTCCTGTCACCCCAATAACAAGGGGAAGAGAATGAGAGCTCTCCCCTCCCCGCTGCCCGCCCTTCACAGCTCACAACTGTTTCCACTAGAAACTGCCTGTTTGCATCTGAACATCCAGCTGGTGAAGGTGAACTAGTTTTAACAGGAAGACACCTCAGTAAAATTTCCCTAGTGAGAATGAAATGCTAGAGGGCTGGCGGACACAGCCATGCTACCTGTTGTGTCTGAGACAGGCTGCAGCAAGCAGAGCCCTGCTCTGCTCTCATATTAAATACCTGTTTGCTGCTGGTGGTGCTGCTGGCTTCAGTCAGAGCAGGACACTGAAGGAGGCTGGAGATTTGATCCAATCTATTTTTTATATTTTCTTCACATTTGGAAAACAGCATCTAGAGAGTAAACATAATACCACAGTGAATAGCAAGGGAAATTAGGCTAGAAGCATGGTGTACAAGATTTGAACCTCATCTGCATTAGAGAGGTCAGCTGATTGTAAGTTTACTTGTGTGGATTCAAGGTGACTGAAATGCTAAAGCCCTCAATTAACTAAGATATAGGTAAAGACTTGATGCACTGAGTGCCAGTGGGGACTTATCTCTGACAGCACTCACCCCATTTCTGTGAATCTCTTCTGTCCTCTTTTTACAATGGTAATTTTCCCCTAGAGCACTCAGCACTGGAACAGAAAGTTAACGTTCAAAATCAGCTCCCTGAGTTATCGGTACAGAGCACCGAACCACAGAATTATAGAACATGAGGGCTGGAAGGGATGTCAGGAGGCCATGTAGTCATGGCCATGTAGTCCAACCCCCTGCTCAAAGCAGGAGCAGCCCCAACCAAATTGTCCCAGTCAAAGCTTTGTCTGCCCGCGTCTTAAAAAAACTTCCAAAGATGGAGAGTCCACAACCTGTCTGAGTAACCTGTTCCAGTGTTTTACTATCCCCCTAGTGAGAGAGTTTTTCCTAATATCTAACCTAAACTTCTCTTGCTGCAACTTGAGACCATGGCTCCTTGTCCCGTCATCTGCCACCACTGAGACCAGTCCAGCTCCATCCTCTTTGGACCCCACTTCAGGTAGTTGAAACTGCATTTCTGCACCCTGTCACTAGCTTACCTTCCCATTCAGTAAAGGACCCACACTTCCCCTGCTTTTTCTCTTGTTGCTGACATACTTGTAAATCCTCCTCAGTCTTCTCTTCTTCAGACTAAATAAGCCCAGTTCCCTCAGCCTCTCCTCAGAAGCCATGTGCTCCAGCCCTATCACTGTTTTTGTTGCCTCCTGATGGACTCCCTTCCACTTGTCCACATCCTGTCTGTAGGGGGGGCAACACTGGACACAGTACTCCAGATGTGGCCTCACCAGTGCTGAATAGAGAGGAAGAATCACTTCCTTTGATCTGCTAGCAACACTCCTACCAATGCAGACCAGTATGCCATTAGCCATGTTTGCAACAAGAGCACACTGTTGGCTCATATTCAGCTCATTTTCCACTTTGACCTCCAGGTCGTTTTCAGCAGAGCTGCTACTTAGCCAGTTGGTTCCCAGCCTGCAGTGGTGTATGGGATTATTCCATCCTAAGTGCAGGTCTTTGTACGTTATGAGATTTCTTTTGGTTCAATCCTCCAATTTGTCAAGGTCTCTCTAAATCCTAGCCCTAATCTCCAGCATATCTACTACTCCCCACATCTTGTTGTCATCTGAAAACTTGTGAGGGTGGAATCTATGACATCTTCCAGGTCACTGATGAAAATATTGAACAAAACCAGCCTCAGGACTGATCCTTGGGGCCCTCCATTTGATACCAGCTGCCAACTAGACATCAAGCCATTGACTACTACCCTCTGAGCCTGATGACCCACCCAGCTTTCTATCCACCTTATAGTCCATTCATTCAACCCATACTTCATTAGCTTGCTTGTGAGAATGTTGTGGGTTTTATCAAAAACTTGACTAAAGTCAAGGTACACCACATCCACTGGTCTCCCTGCATCCACAGAGTCACTCATTTCATCATAGAAGGCAATCAGGTGGGTCCGGCATGACTTGCCATTGGTGAATCCATGCTGACTGTTCCTAATCACCTTCTTCTCCTCCAAGTGCTTAGAAATGGATTCCTTGAGGACCTGGGTCTATGGTTTTTCCAGGGACTGCTTTGAGGTTGACTGGTCTGTAGTTTCCTGGATCCTCTTTCGTTTCTTAAATATGGGCTCTGTATTTGCCCTTTTTCAATCATCTGAGACCTCTCCCGATCACCAGGAGTTTTCAAAGATGATGGCCAGCAGTTCTGCAGTCACATCAGTCAACTCCCTCAGCACCCTGGGTTCATCCTGTCTGGCCCCATGGACTTGTACACATCTAGCTTTTCTAAACAGTCCCTAATCTGTTTTTTGCCACTGTTGGCTGCTCACCTCCTCCTCAAACTGTGCTGCCTGGTGCAGTAGTCTGGGAGCTGACCTTGCCTGTGAAGACCAAGGTGAAAAAGGCATTGAACACTTCAGCCTTTTCTGAATCCTCTAGGTTGCCTCCCCCATTCAGTAAAGGACCCACACTTTCCCTGCTCTTTCTCTTGTTGCTGACATATTTGTAGAATCCCTTCTTGTTACCCTTCACATCCTCTGCTAGCTGCAACTCCAGTTTGCTTTAGGCTTCCTGATTTCTTCCCTGCATTCCCAAGCAATACTCTTATACTCCTCCCTAGCTGGTTGTCCAAGTTTCCACTTCTTATAAGCTTCTTTTTTGTGTTTTAGATTATTGAAGAGTTCCCTGTTAAGCCATGTTTGTCTTTTGTGTGTGTAAGTGGAATTTCCATCCTTGGAGGTTTTACGGCCTGGCTCGACAAAGGCCTGCCTGGAATGATCTAGCTGGGGATAGTCCTGCTTTGAGCAGGGCCTTGGATTAGATGACCTCTTGAGGTCCCTTCCAACCCTCATTTTCTATGATTCTGCCACACTTGCTAGTCTTCCCACACATTGGGATGGTTTGTTTTTGTGTTTTCCCTAAAGTCCAGCCAGCTCTCCTGGACTCCTCTCCCCCTCAGACTGGTGTCCCAGGGGATCCTGCCCATCAGTTCCATGAGTGAGTCCAAGTCTGCTTTTCTGAAGTCCAGGGCCCTAACTCTGTTGCTCTCCTTTCTTCATTTCCTCAGGATCCTGAACTATGTCATCTTGTGGTTGCTCCTGTTCAAGTTACCACTAGTACATCCCCCACCAATTCTTCCCTGTTCATGAGCAGCAGGTCAAGAAGAGCACAGTCCCTAGTTGGCCTCACAGCACTTGCACCAGTAAATTGTCCCCAACATTCTCCATAAATACTGTATTGCCTGCACACTGCTGTATTGCCCTCCCAACAGATGTCAGGGTGACTGAAGTCCCCCGTGAGACCCAGTGCCTGTGATCAGGATAATTCTTCTAGCTGTTTAAAGAAAGCCTCGTCTGCTGTTAAGGACTAAAGGAAGGAAGCCAGACTATATGCTGCACCATGCCTGGCTGACACCTGCTTGATGGGAGATACGGGACTAAGAACTGCACTTGTTGTTTGGAATACCAGAAGAGTCCAGCATGCTCATAGCTTGGTCACCCTGGGCTGGAAAACAGGAAGTTGCAACTGAATATCTTACCTGAGAATGAAAGTGTGAAATGCTCTGACCCAGTCTGATGGCCTGCAGTGCTACCACTTACTCCACATTTCCATATTGCAGTTCTATGATATGAAGATGAACAAACCTGAATTACGGTCCCACTATTGGTATTCGTCAAAGGAAAGGAGGAGCTCCTTGTGGCATATTTGGCTTTTGCCCACTCTTGTGTCTGAAGCATGTGATATCTCTCCAACACAGCCGACTCTCGAGTTGGGTCATTCAGGTCCTCAGAGAACCTGTGGCTTCTCATGGCATTGGCCATGACTGACTGAAATCTAAGGCCAAAGTGGGGTTAGTAAAGTGTATATACACATTGCAAAGTGCTAGACAGAAATGAACAGTAACTAATAAATGCCTGGTGATAAATAACTGCCCTGAAGGACTTCATGAAACACTATGTAACTTCTGTCTTGACTGTGCATTCCCCAGCACCTGACACTCCCCTGATAGGCAAGTTTCTGGGTTTGCCAGGTTTTTTTTTCCCCTGACGGGCTCGGGGTTGGAAACCATATATTCTCCCATACAACACCCCCCCAGATATAACATATATCCTATTTTTGAAAGGCCCCAAGACAAAAAAAAATTTTACCTTGGAGTATGGGTAAGTTCTTGAGGTTTGTAGGCTCCAGGACTGGGGACCATGCACCAGCCTGATCCCGTGTGCTGACCCCTAGGGAGATATGCTGAGATCCAATCCAGCAAGCCAGCTCTAGGATGGTGGAATGGATCTGACCATGCTGTTGGCTGTGGAGCTGCATGCAAAGTCCAGCACTTCACACTGGCTCTGGAGCTACATGCTGGGTCAGACATGTCATGCAGTTCCACAGTTAGTGCATGGCTCTGGATTCAGCACATCAG